ACATGTCAAGTGACTAGTCTACTTGTTTCTAGAATAATGTTCTATTTTTGCCAGGACAGTTTAAATCATGTCATTTTTACTCCACACTACAAATTAAGTATGCGCAAAACAAATGTTTCAACATGTAGCATCGTCACGAGAAAGATACAAAATAACTATCAACGAGCTGATGACTCAAATATTTTTGAAGACACAATATAATTATAAAAAATATATATATCTAAGAAATATATTTAAAAGAAATTAAGTATGTTAATACGGTTCAAATATTTTTATCTTAAATTATAGATATAATCCATATAAGGGAATGCATGTATGAGAAGGAGGAACGGAAAAAAAAAAAAAAAAAAAAAAAAAAGGAGCTTGAGTTTGGTTCCAAGAGCATCAATATAGGTTTATCCAACCCAAATATTGCAATTTCTACAAATAGCATAAATTTCACACCTAACTCTAACATGCTATGTAGTATATAGAGTCGCATAAAATTCCTCCATCCCAATCTCAAAAAAAAAAAACAAAAGAAAAAGGTAATAGGTGTGCACATTGCGATTCAGTTCGTGGGCAGCGTCATTTTATTTGGCATGTTCACAAATATTTCAAATGTCTAATAGTTTGTGGCATCTGAAGTCAAACTGAGAGGACAAATAAGAAGACTAATGAAGAATCCATTGACTTCCATATTCTACGCTGCGTTGGGTCAAATTTTTTGATGAATTATGGATGGGTCAAGTAAAGATCACTTTTTATTGTGTTAAGTATCACGAGATTAGCGTTTCAAATAGAACATTTTGAATTATTCAACAAGTCACTTGCATTAATGCACTCATTGGTAGGAGAAAAAAGTGAAAGGAGGAATAGAAGTAGGCGAATTAGTGATGGATTAAAAACTAATAGTTGTTTAGTAGATTGTTTTAATTTTTAGGAGTGAATTGATTGGCTGAAAATCCTCCACAGAAGAAGAATTTGTAAGGATTGATCCTTCTAAATTTCGTCACGAGAATGTATGCACACGCATGTCCACGAACGCGTTCGTAGCTCTACTACCCTCCTCAATCTCTCTGGGGTCTATTGGCGCAGCCATACTCTATTGTAACGTAATTACATTAACATTAATATTTACTCATATTCTACTATTTACATGAATTTCTACTTACTTGGATTGGGGCGGAGTAGGCATGTGACGGTGTGGAGTAGGATGACAGGATACCGGCTTTGATACCAACTGTGACGACCCTCCTATGAGGCCGCCACTGTAGCTGACTTTTTAACTTGAACATACTGAAGTTTCTTAAAATTTGTGGAACATTTTTTTTTTAAAGTCTTATTGTAAACATAGGATACGAATTTTACTTTCTTAATCAAAATATTCAAATCTCAACATAAATGTTTCTCAAAGCATATAAATATATCTATATGTATATATCTACTCTTTAAGTCTTACTTGCTAATAGCCATAATCCTCAAAACTATTTAACATATAGTTTCAGAGTCATAATTAGTAAAACTATTTATAACATAAAGCTGATTGCGGAAATATTTGTGAGCGGTATCCATTTCCCGATCTCCACATCGTTCATCCACTCGCCGTCAGTCCATTAGGCATTATATGCCGGTTGCTTACCTACAGTAGAAACATTCTATAATGAGCTTTCGCTCAGCAAGTAGGAACTACCTCTCGCAAAATAACTGCAAGTTCACATGAATAAATATGCATGAGCCAATTATGCTTAATTATGATGTCTTATCAGAATCTTATTATCTTATCTTATCTTATCTTTTTTATCTTTCTTTTCTTTCTTTTCTTTTGGGCCCGAGTGCTCGTACCACTTGCGCGCAATCATCGGGACGTGAGGGTTTGCAAGGTCCCCCACAACACCGTGATTATTATATTTCCTTTCTTTTCCCCCTTGCGGATATGGGACTGCACAACTTACCCTTTCTTGGCCTTGTGTCTCAAGGGATTGATGGTTGTCATAGAGTTACCCCCCTTGCGGAGGCTGGTACGGCACCCAACTGAGGTTATTCTTATAAATTCCTCTTGACTTATTAAGGTGTATGTAATATGACCTAGCATAACATACTATGTCATGGAATGTACTCGATCACATATAACTCATGTGTACTGCTTAAGTGTATGTAGTATAACATAGCATACATAACAATAAATGTACTCAACCTATATAATTCATGTGTACCGTTCACTTTAAAATCTATTTATAATGTACGTGAGATTCCTACTTAATTGATTTTCAAAGCTGGAATCCCCTTTCGCCAAACAGCATATTCCCTTACTTGCTTTCTTCTAAAAATGAGCACCCATTAAGAGTGTGAGATTAACTCTCGTTTGCTATTCTACTTTAGCAACTTATGACGGAAAAATATAACCCTTTCTATAAGGCATATATTCCTCTCCTTTACTAAAGGATTATAAGGATCGATTTATCAAATTATTGAAATCTTATTTCCCTTAATTTTCCTTGTTATGATATTAAGGCCCAATTCGGCCTACGACTTATACATTGCATTCTAACTTTTAAGCCGCTGAAATTTATACTCCAACAGAGTCTCTTAAATTAATGCGGGCATTGGACCCACATTAAATCTATGAAATTTTACGGACCTATCGTATTGGGCTCGTAGGTGCCCTGTCGGGATGAATTGCTCGATAAACCACTATGTTCTTTTAAGAAAGTATTTTTTTCTTGAAAACTTTCTTTATGAATACTTTCATTAAAATGAGGTTTAATGCCATTATATTTTACTGAAATCCTATCTCAGGTTCTTTGATGACCTTTTCGTTAAAACCGACACTGTTTAGTTTGTTTTGTTAAAAACTGTACAGTTTCTGAAATCTGTGTTTTACTGCATCTGAGAGTCGGATTTCAAAATTTTGTTCTTCGTGACAATTCTTCGTCTCATC